TCGCTTCGGGCATTAAGAAATTCCAATAATTGGCGAAATGAAAAATGAGTGTACACTGCTAATCCGATATTGTGCTCTTCAGCCGACACACATTTCACAAATTTACAACGTTTAATGGTCTTCTGTTCTACAACCGGTAGAAAATCACAAAGTGGTCCACAACGCTTGCTTGTCCTTTTCCCGCTAAATAAATACATTTCGGCCAGCAATGCGTTTGCCACTTACTCGATGGTGAAGCCCGTGATGTCCATCTGCACGATCAGGTTGACGTACTGCGCTAGAACTTCCTTCGAGTTGTAGATGGGCAGATCTAGACGATTAAAACACGTGTGTGCTTTCGGGAACAGGAACGACTGGTTCGCACCAGCGAAGGCAACGTTGAAGCGCCGTACACGACCGTCGCTGCTAATCAACCCCTTGAAACCTTGAGCCGGGACTCGACTTGTGCCCGTCGCGAACTGCAGTAAACGCACACGATCCTCATTCCTCATATCCTCCACAACTTCCCAGAACCACTCGATGTTGTTAAGCTCGAGCTCCGTGGGAAAATTATGCGTAAAAAACTTGAAATCCGTGTGTTTTTTCCAGTCCTCCACGTCAATAGACGGCACGCCACACATTAGCAGCTCGAGTTCTTGGTAGTCAAACAGCTTAAGCAATCCCTCGGGCACGACATCGTACAGTGCAGTAAGAAATGACAGCAGTTGATCACTCACACTGCCAAGAACATGGTACTTGAACAAAGCATCCAAGTACCGCGAGCGATTCTCTCGCGTCACGTCAATATCGGCGCCTCCTTCAACGAGCTCCACGATCTCTGGCTTGCCGTCCACAATACGAGTAGCTGTAAAATCCAGACACAGCGGTTCGATATCGTCGATCTTTTTCACCATCAACGCGCTGTTATAGATCTCGTCGTCAAGGAATTGTAAGTCCGAGAAAGAGATCGGCACACCCAGAATATGTTTCAGGAACGGCAGTGCGAGATGAACAGGCATCAAATGTTCTTCCAGAATCGCCTTGCCCACCAGTCGTCCAGCAAACTCAAAGTACGCCAAATGCTCTTCTTCACCAAGTAGCAAGTCTGAGCTGGCATTGATCCAGTAACTTCTCTCGTCTCCCACTGTACTCACAAATAGTCCGAAAGATGGGTCGAAAAGCTCAGCAAACAGAAGAGTGAACCACTCGCGCATGACGCCACCTGCATCCAAAGCCGGCTCTCCATCAAACACCACACGCCATCTCTGTCTTAACTGATATGGCTTCATAGCTGCCACGAGTTCGAAAGAGTCCTGCAATAAGTGATCCCTTCGCACTACCAACTCTGCGTGGCCTGATTCCCACGGAAGCCACAGTCGATGGATTTCCGTCGAAAACCAGCGGATTTTATCCGGGAAGGGCAAATTGTGTACCCCTTCGAGGTTCATGATCAGCTCGGAGCTACCTGTACCGTCGAGAATATTAATCCGGTAGTGAAAATCCGTAGCTACTACGTCGCTCTCGTTCAGTACGAGTCTCCCCAGTGAGTCTCTTACTCGAATGTATCCAATTGACAAGTTGCTGTCTCTTTCCGTGGCGTCTAAGTACCTGTTGAGCGACATTCTTCCTCCTGGATCGCTCTCCATCGAGTCTCGTTGGCCTGCTCTCGACTGTCTCCTAGCGGACTGTTGTCTAACCCACCGATGCAAACCATCCGTAGTTGGCATTCTTTTCCACTGCTGTCTTCGACTAGCAGCTAGTTGTAACTTGCTCATTTTATTCGAGGATTTTGGTTTCCTCGAGAACTCAAAGCTCGGTCGTCTGAACGACCCGCCGATGGCGTCATCGGCCTGTGAGGATGAGAAGGCTTCCGTCTCGCCAATTCGTCCCATTCTCTGCGTTGAACTCGAGCTTAAACTCCCTCTTGAAAAGCTGCTGCGAGAGTGCTTTTTGTTGCCTGCTACGTCTCTCTCCGCGCCTCTAAGCGTCTGACACAAGTCGCAAAGTTTGCGCTCCGGGTGGTTAAGGAATTTGCACACGCCGCAGCGCCATAGTGCCTGTTCCATGAAGCTATCGTTCAGTTCTTCTCGATAAACGTCGGTCGGCTCCTGAATAAACACAAGCGACTCGCGTTCGCGCTGGACCTGGATGCGCCTACAGAAGAAGAGCAGCATGACGATGGCGCCCACGAAGAGCAACACGCTCAGCGCGACGAGCACCGCCAGCCCCGCCGTCATGTCTGTGGTGCCTGAAGCGACGGCCGGGTCCGTTTGGTTGTGTTGGTTGAGAGAGAGGAGCGGTGCCTAGCCCTGGAAGAGTCAGACTAAAAGGTAGATTAAGTATTTCGGCTAGAATTTAAGATATTTTCTGATTTGCGGACACTGATTGGATGATGGACACGAACTCAACTGTCAGATTGGACGGCTAAATTTCTTAGTGGGCTATATTTGCAATTTAAATGTTTCGACAGTGTCGTCCACAAACGAAGTCCCACTTCGTCGGTCTTTCGCACATCAGAAAGCAAATGGCTCCCGTATGGCAGGGTGGCATGCTACGATCGTAGGAACTGCTTCGGCGCTTGGCAAACGAGTGGCGTCTTGTGCGGCACAGTGCGTCCTAATAACTTGAGGTCAGCTCTTTTGTTTGGGAGCGTGAGTGGCCCCGCAGTTGCCGCGACTAAACCACCAGGATAACAAACACCAGGACTAAATTCTGAGCACATCAACGCACATTTGATTGGCCCTCTGATCTTGAAGTGGTCTGTGGCTTTTTGTGACCTGTAGGTGCTTGCCACAACGCCGTTATTGTCGAGCAGAAAACCGTTCTGCATTGTCCCGTGAGGTCACGGGCCGTGACGGCTGACTGCAACTGCAGAGCAGCTGAGCTGCGCTGATAGCATTATACATGTAGCTTCGCCTGCTTGCTTGCTAATCGGAATGATAAACGCTCTTATGGATCTTGCTCCAACAAAGCACATGTTAACGTGGGGAAATATTAAGCGCGCCAAGTATTCATGGTACATTACCACTGACCGGGTCTGCCATAATGACGATTTAACAAAGTGCTCCTTCACCACGAATTGCTTTCCGGTATTATCAATACAACATCGACAATTTGTAGTGCTCTTTAACCGTCTTGCAGCTAAATGCTTGCTAAGTGTCAGAAGTTGAACTTACTCACAATGTAAAAATGCAACGGCAACGTGGTCTCACATATAATAGCACTGTCCCGGTTGTTGCCCGTGGTTAGTGTCGTGTTGACCGCAACAATATCGGTCTGGACAATCGCAGTCGCTGCTGGTGTCTTCGCCGAAGCGATTGTGTCATCGACTGCGTCCATATCAACGGCTCACGAAGCACAGTCCCGGTTGCCCGTGCTTGGTGCGGTGTAGGACGCATCATCAGCAACACTGTCGTTTTAGACGATCGCGGTCGCTGCAGGTGTCGCCGTCGAAGCGAGTGAGCCACCGACAGGGTCTGTCTTCACCGTCTCATAGTGCGCAGTCGAGCCTGATGTGGCACTGGTCATTTGGTCAACGCCAACCTTCGTGATAGTCGAGTCAGATCCCGAAGCGGCACTTGCGCTGGCAGCACGGCGTTCGTTGCAGAAGGTGTGTCTGTGACCGGGTTGGTCGAAGGCGCCATTGTCGTGATTGGGGGCGTTGCCGTTGTGACGGAGGGAGTGGCCGCTGTACCGGAAGGAGCAGATGTGGTGGGTGTCGGAGAGGACGTAGGGGTTGCCGACACGTCAAAGGTGGGCCAAGTCGCGTATAGCTCTACACCGCATGCACCTTCGCTGTCTCCGGAGAAGCGCCGCTGGACACGAACGTAGCCATCCTCACCCCAAGAAGTACCCCACTGGTTCTTAATGCGCCAATACAGAATGTTATCTTCCGTCTCACCGAAACCCACTGCCAGTCCCGAGTGTGACCCGGTCTTATCGCAGTTAGCGCCCGTAAGCACGCCACCTGAGTAGTACTGGAAGCAGTCGAACCGCTGTACAGGAAGATGGACACGGGTTGTTTGCGCACGGCATCCTCAATGGCGCCAGGATCTTCACGAACCGATTCGTAACCGGACGTTAAACTCCGTGCAGGGATTCATCGAACAACCTGCCACGTTGCCGTTCTCTGAGGTAAACGGATACGTGTCAAGCGTGCACATTTTGCCTCTGCGTTCGTTAGCGATCCAGTCCAGGGAGTACGCAGCGTAGCCACCACCGCAGCCTCTGTTTCCATCTTCAGTGTGACAACTAATGAGCTGTTGGTCGGACAAGCTGGGAAGCGAGCCGGTTGCCACACAGTAGCCAGACTCCATCGCTGCAGTAGCTGAGAACGCCCAACAGGCACCGCACTCTCCCTGGTCTTTGACAGCCGTAACACATCCAGCCTCTTGCCAATCTACCGTCTCACCTGCAGCTGCCGCTGAGGTCATGATGTCACTGCCAATACTGGAAGGCGTCGTGGTACCAGAGTCTTCTGCGTCCATAGTGAACATCCCAGCCGTTGAGCTTGTGCTGTTCTTGACGGGGTTCGAGTCAGGGTCGATACCGAAGCGGTTAACGTAGGATAGGAACTCGTCCGAGGTCAGAAGTGCGAAAGGTGAGTTGATTGAGAAAGTGGCATGAGGGTGCAGCTTTTGAAGCTCCGCAATGTCAGCCAAGGCTTGATCGAAGCGCTGTTGCTCTTCCGACTCAGTGATAGTAGTGACAGTAGTGGAGGAACCCGCGGATCCCACCGAACTGGAAGATGGTGGGAATGTAATCGTCTCGTTGGATTCCAGTGAGCCCACGCTAACATCATTAAAAGAGCTTGCACTGCCAGAAGCACCGACCTTGGACGATGAAGTGAAGGATCCGGCCGCTGTGCCTCCGATTGTGTTGACAACCTGTACGGCCTGACCGTACATAACTTGACTGCTTCCACTCGGAGTAAATCTGCTGGGCATCTTCGATCATAGCCACCACGGGGTGGAGGAACTGCGCTGATAACGCCAACGCTCCCATTGACAAGACGGTCACTGGCAACATGACTCTTGACAGGATTGAAAACAAATGGACTGGGAGCTGGTTGTCGCGGTCGAGAAAATTGAAATGTGAGTAGTCTTAGAGCGCAGAATTGTTTTGCTATTAGACTCCACCGAGCTCTAACCATGCTTCCGGCTTTAATAATACCGCTCACCACGATGAACTTCTACATGTCCGTTCTCGACGCCTCGAGCAGGTAAAGAAGCTCGTCGCTAGCAAAATCCTGCTCCACCAACAAAGTTAAAGCACTTTATTTTTCCTTGCCAGCATGGTATACAGACGCGGGTCCTCTACGATCCTTCCGATGTTTTTCTTGAGGCAAGATCCGTGCTGTTCCATCAGGTAGCTGCGTCGTCTCGTCTCGAATCAAAGTGGTGAGTTAGTAAAGGTTCCAACTTAAGCGACGGCCAGGGGAGAATCACTGAGCCATTACTACAGCTGCTTGGATACTGAGCCAATACTTCGTCTTTTCAGAAAGGTTGGCCATTCAGGATGAATTTGTTTGAATTAACATACAACTGTTGTCATGACGAGACTGTAAAAGCTAAGTCTCTGCAGCAAAGACAGCAGAGTCTGCTCGACGTTGAAGTTACCAGGTATACCAGGCACGGCATGTTACACGCATCTTCGCATGAACCATACTCAGCATGCTAATGAAACGGATTCATAGGCTCTTATCCACTAACCCACTCTCGACGCGCGGACGAACGAATGGCTGAATGACTCCTTTTAGCTTTTACGTGGTACATCCTCCAGCTGGACAGATCTACCTCACACTACACACACGTATCGCCCTTTAAGATGCAAAGTTTAGAGGCCCTACACGAGTTTTAAGTAATATTTAACAAATTATTTTAGTGGGCACTGTTCTTCAGGTACTACTACATTTAATAATACCTGTATTGGTTGCCAATTAGTAGTACGTTTTTAAGCTCGTAGTACTTTATTTAAAGTACTACTTGTTTTAAAGTACTAATAGTGAGTTGTACATGTACATGTAGTAGTTATAGCACTAGTAGTAGTTTTGAAAGTTGCATGTTTGGCATCTGGACTTATGACCTTCGAGTCCCGATGCAATGCAAACGAATACGTAGTACAAAGTTAGCGCTTCTCCACCGCTCAAAGAGGTTTCCTCTTTCGTAACTTAGCTAGGCAACTAAAGCGGATATCTACTGGATCGATATTATCCCTACGCAATTACAAAGTAAGCACAGCATACGCAACACAAAAAAAACACATCGAGATCACATGGCCATTGCACTGCTCGTGTCCTTCACGGCAAAGCAGACAGACAAGCTGCGCTCGCGCTCTATTTGTCCTTCTTGTTCTCCTCTGTTTCCTTTTCCGCCTCTTCCTGTTCCTGCTCGAGGTCCTCGTCCTCTTCCTCGCTATCACTCGAGTCCGCAGCGTTCATCACCTGCTCGAACAGCGTAGGCTCGTTATCTAACTCCAAATCCTCCGGATGCGGCTGGAACACTGGCAATGTGGATGCCGGGGCGACGTTAAACTGCAGCAAAAACAACACAAACGAACCGTTAGAAAACAACTTAACACACACATAATCACACCATAACGAACCTTAGCAACAGCGCGTAGATCCATGCCAACATACGAGTCGCTCTTAACGAAAATATCCAGCTGGTAGGTACCAGCCTTAGGCGGTGCCTGCAGCTGAAGCCTCTGTTCCACCACGCGCTCTTGAGACGTCATTTTGGAGAAGGCGTGCAAGTGGTTCATCTTCACGTCACCCACGATGCAGTACCAGCGCTCCATCTTCGGGTACGGGAAGCGTGGAGCATACACCAAGTCGCACGTGTCTCCTTCCTTGACGTTCTTACGTGTAAGCTTCACTGTGACCGTCATGATGTCTCCCTCGGCAATAAACTCCTCGTCATCCACACCAATCGAGATCTGCAGTTCCATGTGCGGCATCATGTCCAGCACCGTCGTCACTTCTTGACGGTCTTCCTCGGACAACCCACTAAGTCCCTTCCGTTCCTCTGGCTTCATGGCGATGTACTGGTGCATACTACGCACAGCGTTCTTCCCTGTAACAATGTGCTTCACTTCAGCTTCAGTTAAGTGCGGAAGTTGCAGGAATGGCGGGTCCTTGAACCAGAGTCCTTGAGTCAAGAACTGCTGCATCTCCATGAGGTTCAACGTGGTCTGTAGCCATGATTTCATCACGGAAATCTCCAGCATACCGTCTACTAATTGAATCGCCTTCTTAAGCATCAGATTCAGGTCTCCTTGCAGCGTCGGACTCAGTTTTTCACGTAGGAAATGCGCATGCAGCAGCAGGTTGGCTTTGGCGATAGATGGATGGTTGTACTTGGGTTTCGCCATCATATCCGACTGCTTCAGCTTCTTGAACAACGCGCCAAGCTCCGCGTCGTCGCTGGAGCGACGTGGGATCTCGCGGAACTCGGCGGAACCGGCCAAGATCTCGGGCAACATACGCGGGTGCGCGTGCTGCGACATGGCGAAGTTGTAGAAGCCGTACGTGTCGTACATGATCATGCTGTCTC